AAGAGTGTTCTATATATGATACTTCCCACATTTAGGCATCCCTCGCACTTGGTGCCTGCTTGTGGGCAAGTACTCTCTCTTCCTCTGTGTATTGAGCTGTGCATTTAACGCACCGGTGATGCGATTTGTCAGATCGCAGCATTTTTCATCACACATATTTGTATATAAATTATTATAATCTGTAAACATGTGGCGTCAGCTGTTCTTTTCTGTAGTCGTTTTCCGTCTGTACTTTTTTTTTAAAAGAATACATTGAAAATGAAACATTGTTGTACACAGTAAAAATGATAAGAAATAAAAAATTATATAGAACCCATTGTACAAACTGGTTGTTACTGACATCCCCAATAATCACATTCTGCACTCAATATATGTTAGTGATGTAGTGTGTGCTGCTGTCTCATGTAAATGTATTTACATGAGGCATCACGCGTGTGTATCCGAGGTAAGTTGAACAAATGTAAGGCCAGTGTTGTGTTCCTCATTGCTCAAGACCAGTAACGGATGGCTACATGACCATTTGGACCTAGCATTCTTGTTTAGCCATTATAATGCTGATCTTGAATGCCATACAACTTGTGTTAAAAATTTAAATAAATTGCATTGAAAATTATTTTTATCTGAATAATTTTAGTGGGATTTAAAATTTTCTTGAAATCTTGGTTCTGGCATTGCAAAAATTTATGTTCAGCAATGATTTACTTTGTTTCATTGGCAAGAGTGTAGGATCAATCTGATAATTTCTGACCCCTTATACCTTTCTTTTCTGATAACATCTTGGTACTAGAAGGGTTGATTGATGAATTGCCCATTTTGCTCGGTTATAGTTGACGGTTTGACGTCATTTTAGAACGGAACGCGGATTTAACCCTCCAAAATTTTAAGAAATGCAGCATTCATAGTGTGCAGCAGTAGGAGGGTTTAAATGCAGCAATAATCGTATAGGGTTGTGTGTCGTATCTGCACCCAAAAGGAGTAATAACCATTGTATCTCTTCATTTAAATTCTCCCAAATTGGGGCTGTCATTAATTAGCCTGTACATTCCAGTGCAGTCTGCTGACCCAAGTGGTTTCTTCTGCTTTGTGCGCTCAACGTTTTCTTCATTTTCTGTGTGATAAATTTAGTAGAAAAGAAAATACTGCTCTTGTTTTGATGATTACAGAAAGAAAGTGATGGAAGCGAAATCTTGCTGCATAGAAGCAATAAAGACAAGATGTTGACTGGGCTGTCACAATCAGTGACCAGTTATTTCATTATGCAGTGTTGCTTTTAAGAATGCAGACCAGTTAATTGGATAATCATAAACTGTTTACTGAATGAACGTTTTAATAGTGTTAGATCCATAATGAAAATTTAACTTGTGGATATAAAACTGCATTTAATTGTAGAGTGAAAGGATTTGAGTCGCTACAGGTGCTGCTCCCTGGTGAGAGCATAAGTAGGTATATGACACGCAGTCCCTCTGAATAGTTCAGTATGAAGCAAAGTTACAAGTGTTTTTGAAACTTTACTCTTTTAGTACTTGTGTTGTGTGTTATAATGGTGCTGACTTCTGCAGTCCAACAGCATGATAATGTTGTCAAACATTGGCCTTACATTATGGGTCTCACACTTTTACCCATTTGAAAGCATGAACAAAACCAAATCCTTGAAATGAGTTTCTATCCTATTGCAGGTAACAACAAATAAAACTCAATGTTAAAATTGAGAAGAATTTGTGTAACGCCATTATTCTGCTGATTGTAAAAAAAATACCACAAAGGTGCTTAAAAAATAATGGCTCCTGATTTTGCCATAATTGCAATAGAATTTCATTGAAAGAACAGGTATTTTTCTTGAGCTTTATTCTATACTTTACACAGTTACTTCTCGACATAATCACCCCTGTAGTCCACACACTTCATTCACTGTTTGTGTAGTTTCAAGTGTCATGAAAGAACCATTCATGTTGTTGATGGATCATCACTGTGTTGACTTTGTCGTCTGACAAGAAGTTACATCCTCTCTGAAGTTGTTTTAGTTTTGGGAATTGATGGAAGTCTGAGCAAAGATGGGGAAATGTGATCGGTGGTTCAAGACTATGAGACCGAGTCGGTCTCTTGTAGTCATTTATACACTCAGTAAGGCCCTGCATTGTCATCTTTGAGGAAAAACTGATGTGCATGTCTGGAGAAACTTTTTGAATACATTTCTCAAATTTCTGCAACATTTCAACATGGCACTCAAAAGTGGCAGTAATAGGTATGAATTCTGAATGCACAACACCATTAATGATCTGGAAACCCATCAACATGACTTTCCATCAGAATTGTCCCCATAAATAATTTTTCAACGAATGTCAATCGGTGAAATGTGTTCTGCAGCCCGAAATCTTGATCACTGCACATGGTTTATTCCACACTGACATGTCCCTACACTGCATTATAGTCATGGCTGTAATTCGAAGACTTATAGTGGCAGAACTATGAAACTTTGTGCATATTTTTTGAGAAAGTCTAATTGAATGAGTGCAGTTTAGTTGACACTGCTGTGTGTATTTTTTCCTCGGGAGAAAAAATGTGTTACATCTCAGTATGCCCTCATACTTACGAAATTTTTGTGAAGGATTTATTTTTCTCTTCTGGGCCTTAGAAGCTCATTTTATAAGGTTGCATTGGGTGATGAGGGATTGTGGGAGATATATCTCTGGATGAGCCAACCCCACATTCAACATCCTTTTGCTGTTAATAATTTGGCAGTGGGATATCAACTGGTTACTTGTGTTTTGTCTGTCTGCCCTTAAATCTAAGATGTAAGTAAACTACACAATAACGATGTCCAGCCAGTTTAGGACAGTTGAACCATTTAAGACTTCTGTTCTCGTGGCAGTGAAAATGTTGATTGTGGTCTTCTGTTATTTAATTTGATGTCCTGTATGTGGTTGCAAATGTTTCAGAGGAAATGTACCTTTATCTTCTAGGTGGTGACACTTCACTCCAAAACACTGATAAACACCTATACAGCCCAGAAGACCACAATTTATGTGGTTGAACCGTATCAGTTCAGGTTAAATGTTGGAATATTTCTGTTTTGATACACATCCTCTCTGGTTCACATTCTTTCTTCCCATAAGCACCTACTTTTGTTGAGAAGGAAGTCCATATCCTAGATAGGTTTGATAGCTGTCTGGTGTATTGATTTCCTTTGTTGTCAGTTTACACATCCCAGGAAAGTGTCTCCTGTGATGATAATGTGTTCAAAGCAAACGTTACATTTAAATTTAACGCTTTGTAGCACAGTACAGTATAGACAGTTCTGGTGTTTGGGTATCAGATATTGCCAAGTGACATGCATCTTCGTGCAGGTGAAGCATGGAATTGTGTTCCTTGCAGGTCGAACAGGGAAGCCACCACGCAAGAGAAACAAGAAGAACAACCATCAAACTGTAAGTAGCTTCATGAAAAGGGAAGTCTTGTTTCTGCTGATACAGTTACATGTACCAGCAGAAATACAGTATATTCTTGGTATCTGAAAGTTTTCAGCCTAAAATGTTCTTTTAATTCCTTCATCGACAGTTATATTTGGTTTGAGAATCAGAATTTAATTCCCATATGAGACATTCTTGTTTGGGTTGAGACCAGAATTTATAGAAACTTCTGTCTTTAAGGGTGCTTGTTTATGGGCTTTGCATTTGGACTGCATCCTAATTTTTGCTCATGTGTTGACCTACCGTTATATGTATCTAATGTCGTGTTTCTTAAGAGATGACTTAACAGTTACCCCATGTGTTCCTTGCTTGGGCAGCAGTGCCAACTTTTCCTTCATGAGCGTGTAAACATAGTATGTCAGTTTGTGTAAACAAGGAATCACTGTCTCTAAACTAGCTTTTAGTTTCTGGATTTCACAGTAGAACTAGAAGGGGCTCATGCAGCCTTGGAGATGGCATTAGGTTCATTTTGTTCATGCTTGATGTACCTCTGCTGTGTAGGTATGCTCAGTTCCTGTAAGTGAGGCAGGCAGATACAGTCAAGTGGTATAGAGATCATGATCTTGCACATTGCTAGTCATGGTGCATACTGAATATGCATTATTATACCAATGAACTTTATGCAAGTAATATTTGTGTATTTCATAAATTAGTATCTTTTATTCGAGATATTTTTGTCTTTGTATACTTCACCATGATACAACCAGAACTGTATACATAATGTCTGTATTATTTAAAATTAAAGGTGAATCAACCTTGTACACAGTAATAATCATGTAATAGAGGTTCCATGTCATGCTTTATCAGAACTTATTAGAAGGTAAGTAATGTGGCACTTAACCCTCTTAAAACCTGATGGTAACACTGTACCACATACTTTAATAATCGGTGATTCTGCTTTTGCCCACAATGTGTATTTACGGATTTCACATGATTACTATTATTTCCTTAAACGCCGTTAGCCATTGTTAAATACCAAGTTTCTTCTGGAAAGGTCAGCAGTTCGGACACTTCTTTGCAGACACGTGATAAAACGATTGGCGTGATTTTCAATTAAGTTGCAATGAAACACCTAAAATGGTTTACTTTTTTGGGCAATTTACTGCTACCCATTGCTGCAAGAAAATAGTTTTTTCAAAGGTATAGCCTTTTCTAACAAATGATTAAATTCTCTTTAAACTGCCATTAAAGTCTTAAATGTGACGTGGCATTTTGCCCATTTGTGTAATATATGCATCATTCATTGATTGTTGTTGTTTTGTGGACTGTCTTGTTTCTTTAACACAAAATATGTCAGATTTTGTCTTTCACCTGTAAGCTTGGTTATTTTGATGGTGATTTAGATGTTAAGGAAATGGAATATTGACTGGCAAAGTCACTAACTCTGTAGAATAGAGCCCTTTTGTGAGAAGCCAATAGTCACTTGTCAATTTGAGAAACTCCACACTTTTTGTAGAATCCAAAAGTTGATTACAAACTTCAAACATCCTACCACTGGTCCTTCTACTGAGTCACATGAACCCAGTCCACATCCTCGTGACCCGTTTCATCAAGACTCATTTTAATATGGCCCTTCCGTCTACACCTAGGTCTCCCAGAATAGTTTCTTCCCTTTATGTAACGTGCACGTTTTTTCGTCTTAGATTAAATGAAGGACAGGATAAGAGGAGTAAGTAGAAATGAGATAGCCTATTGAAAACAACTACCTACAAGGTCACAATATTACAACTTGGAAGACCGTGATTGGTATTTAGAAGTTTTGCTATTTAGATTTTTGTGTAGTATACATTGTATTCCTTCTTTTCACATAATGATGGTCTCAGCTGCAGCAACTTCCTTGAATTTTATATAGCCCAGTGGTTAATTTCTGTGTTCTCAAGATCCCACCACTGGACCTACAGCCACATTAGATCATGTTGTGGGTAATATTAAATCATAAATGCTTTGGATCTGTGTTTGGAAGGATATAGTATGGAATGTGTTTTTAACTTTAAACTTTTTATTATGCTAAAGGAAAATTGTTTTGTGGTGTTAAAACTACTTAATCCTCTTGCACATGCTAAGAAACTGAAGCTGTGAGAATTGTTTGATGTGCCCGTGGTCCATTGAAGGTATTTACGTGCCTTTCCTAATTCAAACCACCTCTGTACTGCACATTATATGGGTAAGAAAGATTTGTATGACATTTCTGAAGTGGAAGGGTAATTATGTATCACCTAAGTGTCCATTCAGTCACTGAGCCTTTTGATGTGATATTCTGAACATGATGGCCAAGTAGGTAGAATTCCTGTTTCATATTCGTGAAGTTCTGGGTTCAAATACTGGTTATCCTGATTAGGGTTTTAATGGTTTTCCACAATCCCTCTAAGCAGTTACCAGGGCAGTACTCAAAATTAGGCAGTGGTCATGTTTCAGAATACTTTTTACTTGTGATCATCCAACACTAAATAAATAAAGATGTGAAGTAGCTCTAAATAGCCCCACAGAATAGGTACCTTTTCAAGAGAGTACTGAGACACATCCTACCCAGAGAATTTTGTCTAAAGGGTTGTCAAAATTAAAATATGAACAGGCTCTGCCAAGAGTCATGTTTCTTCACCTATGTTAACTTTATTTGTCAGGATAGTACTTTCAAATAAGTTATGACTGACAGCTTCCAAATCCTTAACTTGTCAGTGATGTCTTTGAAGCTGAAGCTCTTGTGAATAATATTTCAGTCCATACCACATAGTAAACACAACACTTCACCATTACAGAGATTATGTGGTTAATGCTGTTTAAGTTAAAAGTGTAGAATCATACATACACATAAATACAAATAGAGGTTCCTGAGTAAAAAAGAATCTGGTACATATAGTTACCACTTGGGTTTAAAGACTTATATAACTCGGGTTTAAAGACTTATATAACTCAATCAGTCTCACTCACTATAGGAAGAATGTTTACTCAGAAATGATATTGTATTATGTGGCTTATTTTCCTGCTTTACATCAGAGGAGGATGTTTGTTTTGTACCAGCAGAAGGCACCAGGAGTGGTGATACCCTCAGTTTCAACAGTGGCTCCAGTCTCAGGTCCCATGCCATCACTTACATTGGCATCGGCAGGTCATATCATGAGCAATGCACAGCATGTCGGCCGCAAGACTGCGCCATCTGCCGCTGTGCATCTGAAGCAGCAGGCTGCGATAGCTGAGTCAAGTATGCACCATTCAGATCCCATTATGTACTTGCACATATGCATTACTAGGGAATAAATTATAATATCCATTGATTGTATACTTTCTTTGCCAATGGGTATGGATATCCATCTTTACATATCATTTGTAAATGTATTGAGTGAGTTCTAATGCAATTTAGTGATATTTTGAGCTCTATACTTTGGTTATCAGTGAAGTGATTGGTGAGAATCGGTTTCCCCACAGGCAGGATTTTTTTTTCTCTTTGCCAGCCTGTCCAGACCAATTCTGGATCTCCCAGTCTCCTGTCTAGTAGGTATTGGGCTCTTCCTGGTAGCACAGTAGATGAAGCACGGAGCCGACCACTCCTCCATTTTGTGTTAAGGTCTTGGAATGCATGCAACATTTCCTCCATATGTATTATATACATTTCAGGAGTGGTGCTTAGATGCAGGAGCATTTACTAACCTTTATGTGTTACACTGAAGTTATGTGGACTTCATTTTTAATCATATCAGTTCAGTATGATGACAACAAACATGAACCAGTAATTTAATTTTGCTTCTCTAAAATAATGTTTTATCATATAAGAAAGTTGATATATTTCACAAAGTGTACTAGTCAGATATGTATTGAAACATACATGGTGTATATTTAACCGTGGAAAATAAGCTCAAAATAATGGTTAATGAGTAATAAATGGTTGCACTGTCATATCTGTGTAAGCTTCTGCTTCCAGCAAAATAATCTTTGCCTCTGTACTGTGTAATATATGTACTGTTAGTTTTTTTAATTGTTTCTTCAGCAGTGACGACAAAGTCCGTGCCAGTGGCAAGTCATGCTCTGCCTCCTCAGCCTGCCCGGCCAACAGCCACAGCCACCGCAGCTCCTGTCAAGAAAGTCACTCCACCTGCTCCAGCCCCTGCACCACCAAAAGTGAACATTCCAGCTGTAGAGAAAGGTAGGCAGAGTTGTGATAGTGCTGACTGACTGTGGTACAGGTTCCAGATTTTAAACTAAGAGGGACTGACTGAGCAGTAACAGTATTTTATTTCTTGCCAGATTATAGATGGATCTAAAACATGTTTGTTCGTTATGTTTTCCAGTTCAATATGCCGAACACAAGTAAGAGGTGTCAAACCTTTTCCCAGTTGATTCTGTGCGCTAACAATTCTGAGATGTACGTTTATTCCTTCCCCTCCCCCCCCCCCCCCCCCAATTAAGAATGTTCTAAGGACTAGTAGAAACTCTCTCAACTCTACATGTGTACCTAAAAGCATAATTTGACATTCTGGATATCAATTTTTGGAGGTATAGCAAGTCAAATTTTTTTTCACACAGAAATTAA